AAAATTTACAATAAAGTTTGTTCCTGTTTCCAGAAGAATCTCTTCTATCAAAAGATAGTAGGATGTTCCGTACACTGCTAGTTGGCTAGCCGGCTTGTCTAATGATGTAGAAGGTTAAAAGAGATTAGTTCGAAGTAAGACAATTACATGCAAATGGCCATAGTCTACTTCACTGCCAGAAATTAGCAGGCAATTCCGTAGTTACATGGCCATTTCTTTAGTTGTCTTTTGATCGATTGTGCTTATCCGCGATGTCTGTTTATCGCAACAGGCCTTGTAGTAGGGGGAATCCAATTAGCGAAAGACTTGAAGAACCATCTCGTCGATTGGCAGGTTTCAGCGACACCGTCGACTTTCACCGGACATTCTAATTATCGTGAGTCGGCTTTTTATTTTACTAAGTCCAGCCGTACTACTGTACTCCTTTGTTGCTCTCAACTATGTTTTCTCTCCGTACTTCGACAGCAGGCAGAAGCCTATGTCACAGTTGATTTGTAGTCTCTTGGTGATTATGTTATCCTCCTATTAAACCTCCCCTCCCCCCCCACTTGCACTTGTCTTATTTGTTCCCTTCCGGTATGCCTTAAATTTTTATAATCCATTTACAGGAGTCAGTTTTTAATTCTGAAACACAAGTTTCCTGGGGTCGTTCGAATTCGACTGGAGGTCACCTCAGGCGCCGACGTTTTCATGGTTAGTTCTGGCCCGTGTTTTTTATTTGTTTTCTGACCAAAGCTTCCACAGGTTTGAATGTGTTCTATTTTTTGTGTTCGATTTTCCATTTTCATGTGCCTCTTGCTGATTGGATGTGTCTAGAATTGCATGCAGTGACCAATCGTGGTTGTGCTTTTGTGTCTCTTGCCGATTTCCGTTGCGACACCTCAACAGTTTGTCCATTTTTTAAAGTCGCTGGCCTTGCCTGCTTCACAGTGTTCCAATGATCTGTAGCTTCAAACTTATACAACACAAATTGAGGCGAAAGTTCGCGTTGCAGGTGTGTGCCTAAGAAGAACAGGAAAGCTCCTCGCTGGTCGGAATCATGGCTTTATTCATCAGAACTTTCGAACTGTTACTGGAGCTAAAAGCGTCAACGAAAAAAAAAATAAGCAACAGTTATAAGGGAAAGGAGCCTTTTAAGTAGTAATAATAATAATAAATTGTATATTTATTGCTGTGGTAAAGAAACAATACAAAGTTGGTCATCACAGCCGCGCGTGAGAAACTTTATATCAGGAATTAGTAGTATGTTACACATTGTAAGTCAGATCCGATTTACAACGGACCCTCTTATAAAATAATAGTGAAAAAATTCCTATATCAGTGGTAGATTTCAGCGGGCCACCAATTTCCAAAAAAGTATGGGAGAAAAAAGAAAGTGCAGTCAAGCATTGATTGTCTAGCTCACTAATAGATCCAGGAGTCCTTTTACTATTTGCCTGTTAGTAAAACTACGTACTTAGATAAGCAAGCCAGTCAATCGCCTCGTCATCCTGAAGGATGAGCGAGACTTCTTGGCGCGTGAATCTCTCGATCGATAGTTTGATTTTCTCAGTTAAATATCCTGGTGCTGACGTTTCTATGGCATTCCTCATTAGGACATGCCGCTCTATTTAAGTTACCTCTATTTAGGTCCCCTGGTGTTTACGGCATCCTGAACAAAACCTTTTCGCACAACTGCGTAAGTGCTTTCTCAGCCCATCTAACCAGTACTACTTTCAAAATGCTGGATGAGAAACTAGCTTCTGTAGCTCCTTGTACTGACCCTACTCTCGAATGAAATTTCCAACCGTTTAAACTAATAGGGACATGTGACTGCCTTGTTCTATCGCAGAGACGGAAGATATCCCCCCCCCAATTGTTGGCCATTCCCCACAAGTCTCTGTTTCTCTCTCTTCTAGAGAATACATGTTTTCCTTCACATCAATCATTTTGTACTGCCTGCGTTGCAGCATGCACTGTGACATGTTTACATTTGCTACCCTGCACTTATTCGTGGATTTGTTTAGATGACCTGTTGGTGAATTATCTGTTTGTTTGTAGCTTGTAATCTTCTTCCTTCCTTCTTCCACAGCTTCTAAACGACCGCGGTCTGCCGTCCAAGGGCGGACGTATAATCGAGCTACCAGCGGAACTGCAGTGCACCATCGGCGTGGTCTACTCTCCCCTGCCGGGTCAACAATGGCACTTTGGTGAACTGCAACTGCGCGTCGACAGCCCCAGCCGTGTTCATTCTAAAGTGAGCGCCACCTCTGTCGCTTTGCGTCCTTTGCCGTCCCCCCCCCACTATTATTAAACGCTACAAAGGTCCCCACCAGAGAATTCAGAGATGCAGTTGGCGAGCCTGCGTAAGCTTTCCATAAATTCTCATCGGGCCAGTGCATTCATATGGGAACCGGGTACTCGTTAATATTGTTATGACCCGCGCCTGGTACTGCTAATTAAGCCGAACCAAGAACCCGTAAGAGTGAGAGAGAGAGAAGACCCGTTGGCCAGAGAGAGGGGGAGTTTACTGCGACAAGCACGTTACAGAAAGTCAGAGCAAATCATGGTGTGTGTCAGGTCCAACAAAATTAGGGCAACAAACGATGGTGAGCTAGGTCCATTGGGCCAATCAGCTTTTGGTTGCCGGCGTGATTGGCGTGATTAAATTTTAATTATCGATTGCTGTGACTGCGAGTCGTGTTTGCTGCCTGTGGCCGATC